TTTACCAAATGAATTTTGCTATTTGTACACTGATTTTTGACACGTTGTTTGACACTTGCATTATTGTCAAGTGTCAATTGGATTGGAAAGCTATTTGGAATTTAAACTGTCCAATCGAGTAATGTCACGTGGCAAAGTGTAAACTAAAGTGTAATCCATAGTGTACATGTCGCACGGTTCTTATCGATTGAACTTTGCTATTTGTACACTGATTTTTGGCAAGTTGTTTGACACTTGCATTGTTGTCAAGTGTAAATTGGATGGAAAAACTATTTGAAATTTAAACTGTCCAACAGGGATATGTCACGTGGCAAAGTGTAAACCAAAGTACACACCATAGTGTACATGTAGCATGGTCCTTATCGATTGAACTTTGTTATTTGTACACTGGTTTTGACACGTTGTTTGACACTTGCATTGTAGTCGAGCGTCAATTGGATAAAAAAATTGTTTGAAAATTAAACTGTCCAACAGAGTAATGTCACGTGGCAAAGTGCACACTAAAGTGTACACCATAGTGTACATGTAGCACGGTCCTTATCGATTCAACTTTGCTATTTGTACACTAGTTTTTGACACGTTGTTTGACAGTTGCATTGTGGTCAAGGGTCAATTCGATAGGAAAACTGTTTGAAATTTAAACTGTCTAATAGGGCAATGTCACGTGGTAAAGTGTAAAATAATGTGTACACCATAGTGTACTTGTAGCAAGGTTCTTATCGATTGAACTTTGCTATTTGTACACTGATTTTTGACAAGTTGTTTGACACTTGCATTGTTGTCAAGTGTAAATTGGATGGAAAAGCTATTTGAAATTTAAACTATCCAACAGGGATATGTCACGTGGCAAACTGTAAACTAAAGTGCACACCATAGTGTACATGTAGCACGGTCCTTATAGATTGAACTTTGCTATTTGTACACTGGTTTTTGACACTTTGTTTGACACTTGCATTGTAGTCGAGTGTCAATTCGATGGAAAAACTGTTTGAAATTTAAACTGTCCAACAGGGTAATGTCATGTGGCAAAGTGTAAACTAAAGTGTACGCCATAGTGTACATGTAGCACGGTCCTTATCGATTGAGCTTTGCTATTTGTACACTGGTTTTTGACACGTTGTTTGACACTTGCATTGTAGTCGAGTGTTAATTGGATGGAAAAAGCGTTTGAAATTTAAACTGTCCAACAGGGTATTGTCACGTGGCAAAATGTAAACTAAAGTGTACACCATCGTGTACATGTAGCACCGTCCTTACCGATTGAACTTTGCTATTTGTACACTGGTTTTTGACATGTTGTTTGTCACTTGGATTGTTGTTTAATGTCAATTGGATAGGAAAACTGTTTGAAATTTAAATTGTACAATAGGGTAATGTCACGTGGCAAAGTGTAAACTAAAGTGTGTATACCATAGTGTACATGTAGCAAGGTTCTTACTGATTGAACTTTGTTATTTGTACATTAATTTTTGACACGTTGTTTGGCACTTGCATTGTTGTCATGTGTCAATTGGTTTGGAAAACTGCTTGAAATTTAAACTGTAATGCCTTGACCCCTTGTGGACCGGAATGCTACTTACTTTACTTAACTAACCGGTGGTTTAGTCATAGTAGAATATGTTTTAGCGGACTTAATTTTTACAATGATAATTTTAATAACAACCTTTTGAATACTTTAAATAAAACACTGAATAAAAAAAATGGAATGTAATTTATTTGAAGAAAACACAACTTGTTCTCACGTTCAGTGTTATTCAAATACTTTAAAGAAATAACATTGAAAACGTTTACAAAAATAAATCTAAATAACTTGTTCACCGGGGTTTTCCATGGGCTCGTTGCACGACTCTCCATCTTTTCAATCATCCAGGCCCAAGGTAGAATCAAATCAATCTGTAGAGAATGGGTTAAACTCGTGAGTTAAAAAAACTCAATAGATATCATTGGTGCATTCGTGATTAAGCTATACATTTCAAAGCTGTAACTTTAGAAACCTTTATATAGTAGGATTTCTGGTAGAATTTCAAACACGTAGAGTCATGACTTAACACGACGCCTTGATCGGAAGTACATGTCGTACCCGGAGCTACCATTAGACATGGAGGTGTATGCCGTACCGGAAATACCATCAGACATATGAACATTAACATAAATCTTCATTTGCCAGAAACTTATAACTTAACACAAATTAACACTTTGCACCTCTACTTACCTTGATTAATGCTTTGAACCTTGTTGAGAAATGCATTCCTTTGACGTTTAAAAAAAAAATACTCCGTTGAGAATTGATGCTTGGAAAACACTTTTTGATAGCACCAAAACTTCTAGGAAAAACTAATTTTCCTCCCTCTCTTTTCTCTTTTTTCTAGACTTGAAAACTCTCTCTTTTATGCTTAGAAGCTTTTGTCTTGGTGTGAAAAATGTACATGCATTGGGGCCTATTTACAGGTGAAAATCTCACAACTTAAGGGCAAGTGAAGGGCCTAATACTCATTAATACGGGTACCATTTATGTGGGAGTTATAGGTTTAAGAAGGTGCTAGAAAATCATGTAGGAATTTGACTTTTCATATTCCGCGTACTTCGGTTTATACTGTACAGCCTTTAGTATTTCTATCATAACTTCTTCTCTTGATATCTGATTGAGGTAATTCAAAGTGCATTAGAAAGCTAACTCAAAGAGCTACAATTTTATTTATATATCATTTTCCAAATCGAATGTTTTCTATTTCGTAAATGAGTCTCAAATGAGACTAAAAATCTGAATTATACTTTAGCCATCCAATATTCATGTCTTAGTGCCACTAAGGTGTTTAAAATTATTTTGGTTCTACATCCCCCACACATTAATTAAAATTTCATCCTCAAAACTTACCATCTGATTGGGCGAATAGTGTTGGATACTTGTTTTTGGCTTCCTCTTCCCCTTCCCAAGTCGCCTCCTCTATTTCATGATTATTCCATTGTATTTTAACCAATTGAATTTCTTTCTTCCTTAGTTTATGCACCTTTCGATCCAATATCCTAATTGGTACCTCTTCATAGGCTAAGTCCTTTTGTACTTCCACGGACTGATAATTCACTACATGATTAGGATCATGCACGTATTTCTTGATCATTGATACATGAAACACGTTGTGCACTGCCGATAACCCAGGTGGGAGAGCTAACTGATAGGCTACATTTTCGACCCTATCAAGTATCTCGAATGGTCTGATATAGTGGGGTCATAGCTTTCCTTTCTTACTAAACCTCAATACACCTTTCATTGGTGCCACTTTCAGAAACACTTTTTCTCCAACTTTGAATTCTAAATCCTTCCTCCTTGTATCCGCATAGCTCTTTTGTCGATCTTGTGCTGCCTTTATCCTTGCACGGATCTTATCGATTGCCTCAACTATCCTTTCAATTATTTCTGGTCCCAAAACTCTCTTCTCCTCGACTTCATCCCAATGAATAGGGGACCTACATCTTCTACCATAGAGAGCTTCGTATGGTGCCATCCCGATAGTTGCTTGGAAGCTATTATTATATGCGAATTCTACTAGGGGTATGTATGACTCCCAACTACCCCCTAGATCCAAAACACATGCTCTCAACATGTCTTCCAAAGTTTGGATGGTCCTTTCAGATTGGCCATCGGACTGAGGGTGATATGCTGTACTAAAGTTCAGCTTCGTTCCCATAGCTCCTTGTAGATTTTTCCAAAATTTGGATGTGAACCTTGGGTCTCTGTGAGACACAATGGACACAGGTACGTCGTATAATCTCACAACCTCCTTAATGTAGAACTGTGCTAATTAGTCTAAACTGAATGTCATTTTCACTGGAAGAAAATGAGGTGACTTTGTTAATCGATCCACTATTACCCATACAGCGTTGTTTCCTACTGCTGACTTCGAGAATCCAACCACAAAGTCCATTGTGATATTTTCTCATTTATATTCGAGTATGTCTAGTGAATTTAACAATCCAGCCGGTCTTTGATGTTTGACTTAACCTGTTGACATACCATGCACTTTTCCACGTACAACCCTATATTTCTTTTCATATTTCTCCACCAAAATGTATCTCGGAGGTCTCGATACATTTTTGTACCACCAGGATGTACGGTGTAGGGGGTGGAATAGGCCTATTTCAATATCTCGTTTCTCAAGGCTTCATCCTTAGGCACACAAATTCTCCCCTTAAACATTAGTGCCTGATACGAAGTTATTCCAAAATCCTTTCTCTTATCAGTACCAATTTCATTCTTGATCTTCAACAAGAATGGGTCATTACCTTGTGTCTCTATAATTTGATCTATAAGAGTAGGTCGAATTATTGAAGCTACTAGACGAGCAGTGACTTGTCCTAGTATGGTAACCACTTCGATCCGCAACTTTTCCAAGTCCTTGACTAACTCCATTTGAAAAGTGGGTAGTGACGCCAACTATCCCATTGATTTTCTACTTAAGGCGTCGGCTACAACATTAACCTTACCTGGATGGTAATGGATAGTGCAATCGTAATCATTCACCAATTCCAACCATCATCTTTGTCGCATATTCAATTCCTTCTGTGTGAAAAAATATTTTAGACTCTTGTGATCTGTGTAGATATCGCACTTTCCTCCATACAAGTAGTGTCGCCATATTTTCAAGGTCTGTACTACCGCCGCAAGTTCTAAATCATGCGTCGGGTAGTTCTGCTCATGTTTCTTCAATTGTCTTGATGCATAGGCTATCACTTTTCTATTTTGCATCAGTGAACATCCCAATCCTTGCTTGGATGCATCACTGTATATAACAAGCCCTTCCGTACCCTCAGGTATTGTTAACACGAGTGTTGATATCAACCTCTGTTTAAGTTCTTGAAAACTTTGTTCACATTTATCTGTCTATTGGAATTTTACTCCCTTCCTTGTAAGCTGCGTCATTGGTCCAGTTATTTTGGAGAATCCTTCTATGAATCTCCGTTAATATCCTACTAATCCTAGAAAGCTTTGTACCTCGCCAGCATTAGTTGGTGCTTTCTAGTTGGTTACTGTTTCCACTTTCGCTCGATCTACCTCGATCCCTTGGGCAGTGACTATATGTCCAAGAAATCCAACTCGTTCAAGCCAGAACTCACAGTTCTTAAATTTGGCATACTGCTTCTCCTTGCGTAATACCTCTAATGCTATTCTTAGGTGCTCTTCATGCTGCTCCTTACTCTTGGAATATATCAAAATGTCATCAATGAAGACTATGACAAATTTATCCAAGTACTGATCAAATACACGATTCATCAGGTCCATGAACACTGTAGGTACATTGGTTAGCCCAAACGGCATCATTGTAAACTCATAGTGTCCATAACGAGTTTTGAAAGCTGCCTTGGGTATATCCTTTGACTTTACTTTCAATGGATGGTATCCCGATCGTAAGTCGATCTTGGAAAATACCTTAGCTCCTTTCAGTTGATCTAACAGATCCTTGATTCTCGGGAGTGGATACTTATTCTTGATAGTTAATCGATTTAACTCCCTATAATTGATGCAAATCCTCATGCTTCCATCCTTTTTCTCCACGAACAACACAGCATACCCCATGGAGATGCACTTGGCCGTATAAAGCCCATATCTAGGAGTTCTTGTAACTACTTCTTTAACTCTTGTAGGTCCTTCGAGGCCATTCGGTATGGGGCTTTTGACACTGGTGCCACTCTGAGAATTAGGTCTATGGTGAATTCCACTTGCCTATCTGGTGTAATATTAGATAGATCTTTTCGAAACACATCTATGAATTCCCATACTATTGGTACGTCTTCAACCTTTATCATCTCTTGTTTCCCTCTTGAGATGTTTACTAAATATCCTTGACATGTTTCTTTTCTCAACATCTTCTCAGCTTGTAAAGTCGATATTAGTCGAATAAGGGGTTTTCTCTTCATTCCAAGGAACGAAAATGGTTTATCTCCTGGTTTCTGAAATGATACCTCGCTTTCCTTAGATCGGATGGTGGCGTAATTACAACCCAACCAATCCATGCCTAGTATTACATCAAAATCCTTCTTTTCTATCATGTATAGGTTCGCTTCCATTGGTTTTCCCTCAACTTCAATACTTACTGATTTGGCTGTTCTATCAGTACTCAAAGGGTTGCCCGAAGGAATTCTAACCTCTAATGTACCTTTCGAGTTATCACAGGTAATACTAGATTTAGCCATTAAAGTTGTTGATACAAAGGAGTGTGTGGCTCCTGAATCAAACAATACATAAGCAGGTGCATTGGCTATCAATGAAGTACCTGCCATGACGTTCGAGTTTTCCTCTGCATCTTTCTGAGTCATTGCAAAAATTTGTGTTTTCCCTTTCTGGTTCTAGTCATTGTTATCATCCTTCTTCGGGGAAAATGTTGGGCAATCCTTAAAAATATGCCCTGGCTTGCAACATCTAAAATAGACATTCTTCCCTTGCAAACACACGCCACGATGCGTCTTTCCACACTTAGGACATGGCTCTATAACTGGCATAATGCTCTTGTTAGCATTGGCTCCGCCATTAGCTTTCTTGTTTTGCCACTTGCACTTTCCCTTGTCCTGGCCATTCCATTTTCTTTTACCCATATTGCCATTGTCCGGTTGATTGAACAGTTGACTATGTTGCTCGGCGCTAGTCTTCTGGTACCAGATAGCATGAGCTCTTTCCAGCATTTCATGGTATGAGGTGAAACAATGGGACATAAGTATCCACCAAATGTGGAGCATACCTTGAAAGTTTGTCAAACTTCCTTTCATACTCAGTCAGGGACATAGTCCTTGCTTGAGTTGGAGAAATTCACTTTCTTTGTGATCCCTAAAAGACTATGGGAAGTACTTGTCCATTACTTCCTCTTTAAATCGTTCCCAAGTCAATTCCGCTTGTTGCTCTGGGGTCCTCGTCCTTGACATCGAGACCCACCAGTGGCTTGCATCACCGGAGAACATAAACTCAGCACACTGGACCTTCTGGGTATCCGTGCACCCTATTCATCAGAATATTCTCTTCAACTTGCGAAGCCACTCCTCGGCTGCAAGTGGATCAGCTGCTCCATTGAAGGTAGGGGGCTTGTGTCTTCTAAATTGCTTGACCACTGAAGCATGGGTTGAAGGAGCATTAGGAACTAGTGGTAGGGGTTGCGCGTAGTTCGGGTTTTACCTGCCAAGGTCTTGGACCGCTTGGAGGAGATCTCTTATCAAGTTGGTTTGGTTTGCGTAGGCCATTTTCCTTTAGACAAAACGTACGGTTCTTATTAGTTTCATACTTTGAATTCTAACAAAGAAGATAAAGTTTTATTTCTTGACATAAAGGAAGTTATTACAAGGATTTAAATCTAATCCCTATAAGTTCTACGGATCTTCTTTGATGGAGCCTCATCTCCAGAGTAGTCTTCTGCCTCAGTTCCGGATTCTATGTCCATCTCAACCTGTGGCTCGGGCTCAGGATCATTCCCTTCTTCGGGCTCTTCTTCTTCATCAAGTTCAATTACTATCTCCGGTTGAGGTTCTAAGTTTTCCCTCCATAGGTCTAGGAGTGATTGGCAATACACTTCAAACTCAAATATATTTAGGTGCTCCTCTAGCATTACATCTCTAACCGTGACTCCCATATCTCCCCATTGAGGTGGAAGGGAGTGTATGAGGTTATTTATAGCCTCAATATACGTTATCTCCTTTCTAGCGTTCACCGCTGTCATGCATCTCTCATAGACATTATGTATATGTTTGTCAAGTGGACAGAGCAGATCAGTCACATAATTCTCATTTGACTGAATGGCGATTCTACGATTCAATGCTCCTCTATATGCCCTAGCCATTCTACGAGCCATATCTGCTGCATTTTCACATATCATACACTTTTTTTTTACTCTTGGAAAAATGGCTACTGTTATATAACTTTCTACCTATAAATTCTAGCCCAATGCGTATCTTTTGAAAAAAAACACATCTTTCAAATCATTTCTAACTGGCATAGTATATCTTTGAAAATAAGCATAAGTTGTACCATAGCATCGCAAAGCATCTTAACATAGTCTTTTCATGAAAACATTAACTTTGAACATACCTGGGCCGTGGATGAGATTGATGGATGGATGCAAGATGCCATGGAGTATCTTAGACTTTTTCATTTAAAAAAAAAACATACTTGGTCTACAAAACTGGCTAAACCGTTTTTTAAAAAAAAAACATACTTGATCTACAGAATCGGCTAAACTATGCTCTGATACCACGCTGTAACGCCCGGACCTTTTGTGGACCAAAACGCTACTTACTTTACTTAACTAACCGATGGTTTAGTCATAGGAGAATATGTTTTAGCGGAAGCTTAATTTTTACAATGATAATTTTAACAACAACCTTTTGAATACTTTAAATAAAACACTGAATAAAAAAACGGAATGTAATTTATTTGAAGAAAACACAACTTGTTCTTGCGTTCAGCATTATTCAAATACTTTAAAGAAATAACGTTGAAATCGTTCACAAAAATAAACTAAATAACTTGTTCACCGGGTTTTCCATGGGCAAGTTGCACGACTCTCCATCTTTTCCATCATCCAGGCCCAAGGTAGAATCATATCAATCTGTAGAGAAGGGGTTAAACCCGTGAGTTAAAAAAACTCAATAGATATCATTGGTGCATTCGTGATCAAGCTATACATTTCAAAGCTGTAACTTTAAACACCTTTTCATAGTAGGATTTCCAGTAGAATCCCAAATACGTAGAGTCGTGACTTAACACGACGCCTCGACCGGAAGTACATGCCGTACCCAGAGGTACCATTAGACATGGAGGTGTATGCCATACCGGAGGTACCATTAGACATATTAACATAAATCTTCATTTACTAGAAACTTATAACTTAACACGAATTAACACTTTGCACCTCTACCTACCTTGATTGATGCTTTGAACCTTGCTGAAAAATGCACTCCTTTGATGTTTAAAAAAAAAAACACTCCATTGAGAATTGATGCTTGGAAAACACTTCTTGATAGCACCAAAACTTCTAGGAAAAACTAATTTTCCTCCCTCTCCTTTCTCTTTTTCCTAGACTTGAAAACTCTCTCTTTTATGTTTAGAAGCTTTTCTCTTGGTGTGAAAAATGTGTATGCATTGGGGCTATTTATAGGTGAAAATCTCACAACTTAAGGGCAAGTGAAGGGCCTAATACTCATTAATACGGGTGTCATTTATGTGGGAGTTATAGGTTTAAGAAAGTGCTAGAAAATCGTGTAGGAATTTGACCTTTCATATTCCACGTACTTTGGTTGATACTGTACAGCCTTTAGGATTTCTATTATAACTTCTTCTCCCAATATGCGATTGAGATAATTCAAAGTGCGTTGGAAAGCTAGCTCAAAGAGCTACAACTTTTCTTGAGATATCATTTTTCAAATCAAATGTCTTCTATGTCGTAAACAGGTCTCAAATGAGACTAAAAATCTGAAGTATACTTTAGCCATCCAATATTCTTGTCTTAGTGCCACTAAGGTGTTTAAAATTATTTGGGGTTCTACATAAACTATCCAATAGGGTAATGTGACCTGGCAAGGTGTAAACTAAAGTGTACACCATAGTGTATATGTAGCAAGGTTCTTACCTACTGAACTTTGCTATTTGTACACTGATTTTTGACACGTTGTTGGACATTTGCAGTGTTGTCAAGTGTTAATTAGATGAAAAAATTGTTTGAAATTTAAACTGCCAAATAGGGTAATGTCACGTGGCAAAGTGTAAACTAAAGTGCACACTATAGAGTACATGTATTAAGGTTCTTACAGATTGAACTTTGCTATTAGTACACTAATTTTTGACACGTTGTTTGACACTTGTATTACTTACCGATTGAACTTTGCTATTTGTACACTGATTTTTTATACATTGTTTTGCACTTGCATTCTTATCAAGTGTCAATTCGATGGGAAAACTGTTTGAAATTTAAACTGCCCAATAGGGTAATATCACGTGGCGAAGTGTAAATTAAAGTGTACACCATAGTGTAGATGTAGCACGGTCCTTATTGATTGAACTTTGCTATTTGTACACTGATTTTTGACACGTTGTTTGACACTAGCATTGCTGTTAGGTGTCAATTGGATAGGAAAACGATTTTAAAATTAAACTGTCTAACAGGGTAATGTCGACAAAGTGTAAACTAAAGTGTGTACACTATAGTGTTCATGTAGCAAGGTTCTTACCGATGGAACTTTGATATTTGTACACTGATTTTTGACACGTTATTTGTCACTTGCAGATTTTCAAGTGTTAATTGGAAGCGAAACTTGTTTGGAATTTAAACTGTCAAACGGGGTAATATCACGTGGGAAAGTGTAAAATAAAGTGCGCACAATAGTGTACGTATAGCAAGGTTCTTAACGATTGAGTTTTGCTGTTTGTACACTGATTTTTGACACGTTGTTTGACACTTGCATTGTTGTCAAGCGTCAATTGGATGGGCAAACTATTTGAAATTTAAACTGTCCAATAAGGTAAGGTCGAGTGGCAAAGTGTAAACCAAAGTGTACGCGATAGTGTACATGAAGCACGGTCCTTATCGATTGAACTTTTCTATTTGTGCACTGATTTTTGACACGTTGTTTGGTACTTGCATTGTCGTCAAGTGTCAATTTGATGGAAAACTATTCGAAATTTAAACTAGCCAATAGGGCAATGTCACGTGGCAAAGTGTTAACTAAAGTGTGTACAGCATAGTGTACATGTAGCAAGCTTCTTACGGATTGAACTTTGCTACTTGTAAACTGATTTTTGACATGTTGTTTGACACTTGCATTGTTGTCAAGTGTCAATTGGATAGGAAAACTATTTGAAATTTAAACTGTCCAATAGTGTAATGTCACGTGACAAAGTGTAAACTAAAGTGTGTTTTCCATAGTATACATATAGCAAGGTCCTTATTGATTGAACTTTGCTATTTGTACATTGATTTTTGACACGTTGTTTGACACTTGCATTGTTGTCAAATTTCAAGTGGATTGGAAAACAGTTTGGAATTTGAACTGTCCAAGACGGTAATGTGACGTGGCAAGCTGTAAACTAAAGTGTACACCATAGTGTACTTGTAGCAAGGTTCTTACCTACTGAACTATGCAGATTTTACACTGATTTTTGACACGTTGTTTGACACTTGCACCATTGTCAAGTGTCAACTGGATGGATGAACTATTTTAAATTTAAACTGCCCAACAGGGTAATGTCACGTGCAAAGTGTAAACAAAAGTGTATACTATAGAGTACATGTATCAAGGTTCTT